ATTCCTTCGGGAGGGCGAGGATGGAGAGTGTATTCCTGAGGCTGAGTGTCCTAACGCCTGATTATTATGTCTTTTCATTTGTCATTTTTTTAATTCAGAGTTTATTTGTATAAAATTAATCTTGTTTAGATAGTTTTAATGTTGTTGTTTTAATTGAAGTATTAATAGTTTTCTTATAAGTTTTGATTTTATCAAAAATAATGTTTCCAAAAATTATTTGGAATATACACATATGAATTATTTATGCTTATTATATAACGAGTTTATGATTACATAATTGAATAAAAATTAATAATTTTCAACAAATATTTTTTTACTGTATTATATAAAAGGAAATCCTAATAAACAAAAAATTCAATGTCTAATTATCTAATTTGTATTTTAAAAATTTAGTACAAATGCAGAAATACAGTACTTTAAATCAATTTCAATACAAATATAAAATAAATAATTTTCCAACAAATAATTCTAAGAAATGTATACAAAATTTGTTCAATCCTTTCATTCTATAATCATATGAATGGTTATCAGAATTATTGATAATCAAATCAAATGGCATATTTCAACAGTGAATTCAATGAATTTCAATGAAATAATTTCTTTATCCAAAAATTCTGTGCCAACATACTGTATTTTTGGCAAATGAGTTCATTTTAAATGTAAGATATACGATATTTTATATTTTTCATAAGTACTGTACATTAAAGAGTACACTATTTGATTAAGAATTTAAAGATATTATATTTAGTGTTGTCATTAATATAAGAAAAAGTTATTTTTGAAATAAAACTTGTGGATAAAATTTTCAAAATGAGTCTGAATGATATTTAGCTATAGCTTCAATGTTATTAAACGTTATTCTGTTAAGTATGCATTTATAAATTTTCATATAATGTTACAAGTAATCATTTATAATTCAATTTAATATCTACAATTGATTTGTGAAATAAGTATTATTTCATGAGATGTTCACATGTTTATCTGCTATTGACGCATATAAATCGGATTTATTATTTAAATAAATAAATATAAGATTACTTCAATTAGTGCAAATAAACCTTATTTATTAAACCTAATTAGCCAATTGGATATTTCATATACAGTATTAATAATTACCAAATTCTTATGGCTCATATGTTATGGATAATCATTTTAATTGAGCGATTATTTATTTTATTTTTACTATTGATTAAAGTTATAAAGTTTGACAGTGATCATAAAGTTACTAGATATTCTCTTGGATATAATATAGCAGAATATTTTAAAATTATGAAATTCATACCTAATTTATCGCCACTAATGATTGTCCAATTAATACTGGCCGCACCCCTATGTTTGGGCAGTAGTGAGGGGTGATATATGATAGACTGGTGTTTTGGGTACTGAACCACTTCCATGGGAATAAACTGGGAACAGTATGGCATCACATTTAGCTCAGCGCCCACTGATTTGTACTTCTCTAAAACGCTAGGAATGGGCTGACCTGTCATCAAATACAAATATATTAGACATATATAAATAAAATATTATTTGATATTCATGTTTGATATTTGTATTAATTAGCTAGGTTATTGAGAATTCCTTGTGTTAGTAGAATCACAGTTAAGTGAGTGTTGAAACAAAATGCAAACCTTTTGTGCGCCAATTCTTGAACTTAAAGACCGGCACTCCATCGCTGTTGGCCACCGAAGCCAACGGGTCTTCCCTGTTGTTCACATCGGGTATTGTGAAGACACCGACGATTTGGTGACCATTTTGTTGCAACAGTTGGTACACAGAACTGGCGAATACCGACTGTCCTATTATAGCGATTTTCATGATACTTCTGGTGCTCACACTTCTAGCGTTCACTTTATTCAATGCAAACAATCTCTGAAACATTCAAATCGATTTCGTTTACTTATATATAAACATAAATTAAGTAAACTTTTGCTGATAAGACCAGTACTTTTGATAATAGCCTACAGAAAATCTATTAATTTTCAGTACATCTATTTGCGGGACTACTCTATAATATGCCAATAGTTACGAAATGTCGACAATATTTCTAAATTTTATATCATGGTTTATTTCACAAAATAAAGTCATTATAATATTTTAGTTATTTAACTAACTTTTAACTAAATATAAAAGTCAAACAGTGTTGGATTTAAAAGAGATTTTACTATTATTTTAGTTTCATATGTTAATAAATAAAAAAATCTCAACATTTTGTATAATATTCAAGTATTGAAGATATTTTTGGCACAAAAAACAGGCCCTTAAGAGAAGCGAATGAACTATTTTGAGCACAACTTATCACAACTTATATGATAACCATATTCTTCCGAGTCTAGGGTTTAAACTTTCAGTTATGATACACTTTCCTCACATTATTTCATTTATTTTTACAACATTAACAAGTTAAATTAAATTCAACTAGATTAGGAATGCTATAGTAAATATAATGCAAATAATATTATTATAAATTAGTAAAATAATTTACTATTTGTTTACAAATGAAATATTACCTTTTAATTTGTATTAATTATACTTAAACTTTAAAATTTATTATATAATAACACAAACTTCTAAAAAATTGTCACAAAAATAATTTCGATATTATAATTGAGGTCACAAATGAAGTTAAATTTCTAAAAATTGTCAAATGAAAGACAAAATGAAAGATTTTTATCACAAGAAAAGTGAGTTTTTGTGTACAGTATATAACTTACAAAATTAAACCTAAGTCTTAATACAAGTTTTGAATGAATTGAAATTCATAGAATAAAGTTGATCTTGAATTGAAAACAAGATTTAACCGGTTATTCAGTGTATAGGTTGAGGAATATTTTTGTAAACCAATACAGATCTCATAAATTGATTAAAAGTTAATTTTAAGTTCATTAGTTATACTGTATAACTTATACAACTATTAAATCTTGAGCTAAAAATATTTTTTATATACAGTATATTCCAATTGATTGTTTCCAATAAGTTTATCATTTGTAGACTATTAGATCAGTGATATTTTTATAGTAAATATAGATACTGTAGTTTATTACGTAAATTTTGAATTAAAAACTTATGACTTTTATTTCATAAAATATGATAAAAACTGTTTATACAAATTTGTCAAAAATAACAATTTCATGTAGTGTTTCGTAACAGAGTTTTTTATTTATTAAACTAAACTTTTTTGAAATGCACTTTAAATGCACTATAAATATAAATTAATTAACATATAGAATATTCAATAAAAATTAGTTTTAGTCATCTGTTATCAATTATAAAGATGTATTTGAATACAACTTATGGACTTATAGTATAAATATGTGTGACATCAGAGTTAGAGTCATTGGGTGTCAATTGACTCCGATTATCACATTTGGTAAGTGCCGGGTGTCCCACAAAAATCAAGTTATCCTTTAAGAGGTGAGAGTTTGACAAATCAAGCGATGAAACTNAAACAAGATTAATTTTATACAAATAAACTCTGAATTAAAAAAATGACAAATGAAAAGACATAATAATCAGGCGTTAGGACACTCAGCCTCAGGAATACACTCTCCATCCTCGCCCTCCCGAAGGAATCCAGGGATACAAACACATGACAGATGACAGGCCTTATTACATGCCTTGGACTTGGCTCTAATCACACATGCATTACAATTAACAATAATTATCAATAGTTTTATATGAAATAAACAATTGGTGAAATGTGCAATTTAATGGTAAATAGCGTACACTACAGTAGTGCACCCCTACACCCCTTACCTCCTTAATTGTTTATTTTCGCACAATCTCTGACACTCTTTGGTGGACGACTCGCAGCTCCAGAACTCTCGGCCCCCTTTGCACTCCTTCACTGTCTCTGTTATGGAGAGAGAGACCATTATTTTAATAATTCTAGAAATTAATTAGTTTTATAAATAATCAAAATTCACTAACTTTTTGACTCAGTCTGTGATAAAATAGTGATTAAAACTATGAGTATAATTAATGCCAACAATTTATTCATTTTAGTAATAGATTTGATTGTAGTTATCACTTCAAATAAAACTACAATTTATGAATATGTTGTCTCCAGTTTTGTCGTAAATGACAACTTCGCAGACAATTTCACAGACTTTGTTGGTTGTGAACAAAAGTGAAAACCAACTTATTTGACACAACTTTTTAATTACATTTATATATATTAATAAAAGGCACTTTTTATGTGTTGTCGAAACGGATTATAAGTCTTTCCTGTTTCTCAAAACTCATTAAAAGAAGTATAATTTTGTTGGAGAAATGAATTACACTATTATTTGATGCGATATAGAGGTTAGGAATGGGAATACTTTGAAATGAAAGTCTCGACTCTTAATATAAGACTTTTAAGGTCCTATCGTTTCCCCTAAAACGATACTTATATTTATATATTGATTAATCATTGATAAGAATATTTCTATTTTTATACTTTTCTTAAATATTTCGATGTATTTAAGGGTTGAAAGACAGTGGAAGGAAAGGGACAGAGAGAGGGGAGAAAGTTGTAAAAATTTAAGCAATAAATAAAAATAAAACTAATTAAAATAGATTTTTCATTTCATTTAGCTTAAAAACAATTTTAGTAAACATTTTTGTTTTAAATATATTGAGAAAATGGTAAAACTCTTAATTAAATTATGAACAAATAAAATTTAGTATCCGTTTGTCATTGAATGCAATCATATCTATTGATAATCTGAAATATTTAATTATTTGTTAATTAATTTTTGGCAAATGTATTGCTAAATCTTTTTTCTTGAGGCAGATCATTCAAAAGTGTACGCATACATAATTTACCAGTACTTACTCAAACATAACATGTACAATTTTTTAATTAGAAATGATAGTAAAAATCTCCTGACCCTTTATATTACAAATCAATTTAATTAATTAGAGAAATCAATTATGAAATTAAATAAAAATAAAATTGAATCATAGGGTTTTAAACTAATATTATAATAATTTAAAAATATAATATTAAATAATTTACAAATTATTACAAAATAGTGACAAAATTATGTTTACTTTTAGGCGGTTTCTCTATATTCTGGGCCGACGATGGCTTAGATACCGGCCCTCTATTATTGCAGAAACAAACGGAACTGGATGTCAACGAAACTGTAGAATCCCTTTACAATAGATTCCTATTTCCGGAGGGAATCAAAGGGATGGCGGAGGCGGTAGACCTGATCGCCAACGGGAAAGCGCCCCGAGAGGTGCAGTCAGAGGAGGGCGCCTCCTATGAGCCCATGCTTAACAAGAAGGAGTCATCGATGGTTAAAATCGATGAACTCAATGGACAACAATTGCATAATTTTATCCGCGGCTGCGATAAAGTTCCCGGAGCTTGGATTACGTTAGAGGAACAGCCCATCAAACTGTATGGCTCTCAGCGATGGACTAAAGATATTCCCAATGGACTCGAGATACCGGTCATCGGTATGACCACTGGATTTGCATTTAATATAATGTATTCACGAATACCTAATCATAACTACAGGTGCGACAAGACCTGCTGTAGTGCACAGCGAGGGCTTACTCTTGTTTGGAACCGATGGACAGGCAGTAAATGTGACCAAATTAGGTCTGGAAAGCGGCAAAATGATCCCGGCCTCCAACTATGGTCAGGACGCTGTCGGCTCAGACATCGGTGAACTGTCCGCCGCGGAACAGGCAGTCATCGATCAGATCCGCACCATTTGGCAATCAATCCTCAACATAGAGATCGAGGAGTTGACGGACTTCTTCAAGTCAGGCGCCGGCTCTATGGATGTGACGCGTCTGGTGGAGGAGATCAAGGAGTTGGAGGGCTTCGCAAACGTGGAGCTCATCAATGAAGACGTCTATATGGCCACCACTTTCGATGAGTTCACGAAACTAGTTGTAGTCAAATCCCGGGGCGGCTCCGGCGGACCGCAATTGGTCTTCACTCCCGTTCAATTGAATGTTAATAAACGGGACATTAGTTTCGCGAATCAACTCTTTATTAACAATCAATTCATCGACTCTTCAAATCCCCAAAGAGTTCTCAAAACTGTTAATCCAAACGACGAGTCCATCATTTGTGAGGTCCAGAGCGCCACCAAAGAGGACGTCGACAAAGCGGTCAATGCGGCCAACGATGCCTTTTCTGGCGGCGAGTGGGCCGTCATGAACGCCAGGGACAGAGGAAAACTGATGTTCCGGTTGGCGGACCTCATGGAACAGCATAAGGAAGAGTTGGCTACCATTGAGTCCATAGATTCCGGAGCCGTCTATACGCTGGCCATCAAAACACATATTGGTTTGCTGTTTGAATTGCTTCAAAAAACGACATAAATCTTGAACTGTATGTCCCGACAGGTATGTCAATCGACACGTGGAGATACTTTGCGGGCTGGTGTGACAAAATCCAAGGCGCAACCATTCCCATCAACAACGCCCGGCCTAACCGTAACCTATCGTTCACTAAGAAGGAGCCGATCGGTGTGTGCGGTATAATCACGCCCTGGAATTACCCCCTAATGATGGTGTCGTGGAAAATGGCCGCCTGTCTGGCCGCCGGAAATACGGTGGTCTTAAAACCGGCTCAAGTAATGCCTGCAAAGGGCTACAACTTTCGCAGAGTTTTAATATGAGTCCAATTAATAGGTCTCCCCATTGACTGCCCTGAAATTGGCCGAGTTATCCGTCTACGCGGGCTTTCCTCCCGGTGTCATCAACATCCTCCCGGGCACGGGCTCTGTGTGCGGTCAGGCTATTGCTGATCACCCACTCGTACGCAAACTGGGTTTCACGGGATCGACACCTATTGGACAGACAATCATGAAGTCGTGCGCCGAGTCTAATATGAAGAGAGTATCGCTAGAATTGGGCGGAAAATCGCCGCTAATTATCTTCAACGACGCGGATCTGGACAGAGCTGTCCGTAACGCCATGTCCGGCGTATTCTTCAACAAAGGTATCCATTGCTGAAGAATACAACTGATTATCAATCCGTCAAACAATGTATGTCTTGTACGGACTGATAGGTGAGAACTGCATAGCGGCCGGCCGTCTGTTCGTCGAGGAGTCCATTCACGACGAGTTCGTGAGACGTGTGGTCGAGGAGACCAAGAAGATCAAGATCGGGGACCCGTTGGACAGGTCCACATCACACGGCCCTCAGAACCATAGGGCACACCTCGAGAAACTCGTTGAATACGCCGACATTGGCGTCAAAGAGGGCGCTAAACTGGTCTACGGAGGCAAACAAGTGGACCGCCCGGGCCTCTACTTCTGGCCCACGATCTTCACGCACGTAACGGACAGTATGTATATCGCGATTGAGGAGTCGTTTGGACCGATTATGATCATCAGTTCGTTCCCTAATGGGGACGTCGATGAAGTGCTCCGGAGGGCCAACGCCACGGAGTTTGGTCTGGCGTCGGGAGTGTTCACGCGTGACATATCCCGTGCCCTCTACGTGACCGAGAAGATCAACGCCGGCACCTGTTTTGTCAACTGCTATAACAAGACCGATGTGGCCGCGCCTTTCGGGGGATTCAAACAGTCCGGGTTTGGCAAAGACTTGGGTCAGGAGGCCCTCAACGAGTACCTCAAGACCAAGACTATTACCATTGAATATTAGAGGGAATGGAGGGTTTTGTCATTAAGTTTATGCCATTATAACAACTTTTTTAATCTGTATTTTTAGTGTGAATTAATTATTTTTACATTTAATATGACTTTTATATAAATATAATTGAATAAAATTAGTAATTAAATAAAGAATATTAAAAAAAAGTTT